AGGCAGATGGAGAGGGCTTTTAAGGCTGTTACTAATGACTCAACCGTGTTCTAGTTTGGTAAGTGCGACAGTGAGGTTTAAAATGTACTTTCCTAGCCAGGTATGGGGTACACACCTCTAATCCCAATGCATGGGTGGTAGAGGCAGGGGAATCAGAAGGTCAAGACTAACTTAGCTGTATACTATCCCTAGTATAGGGCTGGTCTGGGCTATATGAGATCCTATATCAAGGGGCAGATGAGGAAGGAAGGAGGGAGGGAGGGAGAGAGGGAGAAAGAAGGGAGGAGAGAGAGAGAGAGAGAGAGAATGATTGCTCCAAGATAAATGGCAGAGCTAGAATTTCTACCTTGTATGAATTGGGCCATGGGAACCCAGGGAACAGAGAAGGACTGGAGGAATCTTCTGAGAGGAGGCCACCTTTGAATAAGACATGGAGGGGGGGGTTGGGGTGTACAGAGAGATAGAAGCAAAAATAGCACAAGGGTGCGTTTTGATACCCTAAATACCCCTGTAGCTAAGCTAGGAAACAGAATGTGGTGAGGGGTGTCAGAAGGGGCTGGAATTAGAGGTGGCGGCAGACCATAATAGATTTGTATATCCCTGGACTTTGGAGGGATGTGTATCTGGGAGTTACAAGCTAAGGAAGAACATGGCCACAAGTATACTGTGAAGAGAGGCTGTGGTGGAGGAAGGAGTGGGCAGGGCTAGAGACAAGGAGACCAGCATGGCAAACGATTTAATGTGCAAGTCCTGTAATTAGCAGAGCCTCTAGCCTTTGTGTGAACACCGTCACATAAAACATTCTTAGACCAGAAAGATAGAGAAGTCCACAGAGAACACAACTGGTACCAAGAGCTGTGGAGATGGCTCTGTGTTAGGTGAAACGCCTGCTGTGCATGCATGAGCTCCTGAATTTGGATCCTCAGTAACCACGTGAACACGGAGTGTGGCAGTATGCCTCTGTTACCTCAGCTGGGGTAGTGTAGAGACAGGAGGATGCTCCAGGCTTGCCAGTCAGCCAACCTAGCCAAATTGGTAAGACAGTGAGAGACTCTGCCTCAAAAAATAAGGTGGAGAGCAACAGAGGAAGACACTAACTAACATTGAGCCTGGCCTCCACATGAGTACATACAGGTATGCGCACACACACACACACACACACACCTGTATAGTGACACAGGATGTCACTTCCTTCCGAGTGTCAGCTCATGGTCTGTTCCCTATCTTTGCCATCTTGAAGCATTTTGAAGTAGAAGACTTCATTTCTCATCACCTCCTTCCACTAACAGTGACACACCTAATAGGGAGACATGTCTGTCAGAGGCTCACTGGTCTCAGACCCAGTTGAGAGGACAGAGAACATGACTGCTGTTAACTCAATGACTTAGTTGTCCTGGAGTTTAATATGTCCTAGCAATTCTGTGTCCAGACTGTATTTACTTTTGTAGAGTTTTATTTAATTGAAGATACATTTTAAGCCAAAATACACCCACTATTGGAATCCTGATATGAATTTGGTCTGGCTTCTCTTTCTCACTAGGTACAGACTCATTTATGGAAGCAGATTTCCATATACAACCTGAAACCTGCTTTACCTCACTCAGTGTGCTTTCTACGTTTAGGTCATCACAGATGGGACTTCCGAAAACATTCTCAGTGCAGATTAAAGACCAGCTATCAGCAAGTACCATATCCAGGCAGTGTGGTCTGAAAAGACAGAGCAAGGACCTTTTGAGAGCAACTACTTATCTCTCTGAGCACAGCTGCCAGACGTCCTATGGTGCGCCAATGCCTCCAGCCAGCGAGGTACAATCTGCTAGCATGCACACGGAAACAGCCATTTAGAAAGCTGCCCGAAGTAAATGGCGGAGCTGAGATTGCAGCTCCGGAAGTCTGACTTCAAAGCTTTATTCTGCATTTCCATTCCTTACTCTTTCAAATCAGAGCATTTGGTGATTTACTGCAGGGTCTGGGGAGGGGAGAAGAGAAAATGAGAAAAGATTTCGGATAAAGGAAGCAGGCTGACAGATGAAAACTGGGGCCCTTATCAGATGGAAGACACAAGAAAAGGAAGAGGTTTTGAAGGATGTTGACAGGGAATATCCAAATAAAATGACTGTTAAATCTAGAGCTTCAGAAAAAAATGAATGAGGCTAAAGAAGTAGCTCAGAGAGATCTGTTTCTAAGCAGCAGAAGAGGATATGGCAGTAGGGAGGAGGAGGAAACCAAGACGCCCCAGGACCTGCAACGTTTAAGGCCCCAGCAAGAGAAGAGCTTCAGTGAAAGAAAAAAGAAAATCATGGGTGGTAGAGGACAAAACAGGGCACAGTCTAAGGAAGGACAACGTTTGATGAGGGAAGGATGGCTGTAGTGCATAATCGGATGGAGAAATTGTATAAGGTGGGATCTAAAATGAGATCATTGAGCTTGGAGTTAGACCAGCATAACAGCACCAGGAGCACCGAACAATAGCTCCTCAGAACTCAGCCTTGCTATGTGGTATGGTTGGTTTTTGAACATCCTGGTGTTCCCTGAGTGAGATGAATGCCCTGCATGCGTGTTTATAGAAGCTTCATGCGTAGTGGCCAAACTCGGCAAGCAACCAAAATGCCCTTCAAGGGATGAATGGAGAAGCAACCTGTGGTATGTCCATACAATAGAATATTATTCACCAATTAAAAACAACAAAAAACTTGGCTATCAAACCATGAAAATATATGGGAGATGGAGCTTAAATAGTTATTGCTAGTGTAAAATAGCCAATCTGAAAAGGTGAAAGAATTGTCTGCTTCCAGCTCTGTAGCATTATGGGAAAGGCAGAGCTGTGCAGAACTTGAAGGCCAAGGGGTTCTTAGGACAGTGGAGCTATTCCATATACTTTAATGGTGGATGCAGGTAGGGGGCATTGGTCAAAGTTTCCCATTGAGCTCTGTTGCAGAAAAGGTGCTATGTAAAAGGGTGAGCCCTATCAGAATCCATGGGCTGGCCTCCAATTCACAGAGATCCACCTGTCTCTGCTGGCATGAAAGACAAAATAACTGTACAAAGGACAAGAGGAGAAAGTAAGCCATGCACATAGCACCATGAGAGTGTATAAGCCTGTTGGTAAAGAGAAATGTCAGTGTTCCAGGGAAAGGGAGCACCCCATTCCAATCCTGTATACTAACTTCCCACTACTAGGCACTACAGTTTCCTTGACATGGTGTAAAAAATGCCACCGCCTAATTTACCCGGTATCATCTCTGGTCATTGCCCTTGAGACAAAAGCTCTGCTGGTGGCAGTTGTCACTTTTCTCTCTGTCCTTAATTCTGCAGTCCTTCAGACCACCCTACCTGTACTGTATAGCCCATGCCTGCATCTGCCCTACCTCCAACACTTGCCTTGGCCACCAAAGAGGAATGATTTCTCTCCCAGTTTCTGTTGTTCTTTTTGCTGTTATATTCAATAAATAAACTTAGAACATCACAAAGTAAATGAAAAGCCAAAGAAATTGATCAAACATTTAAAAGGAGGCAAGTGTAATTACATGCATGTGGACAGGCTTCAGGGGAGGCTTTGTTGGTTTGGACATGTTCCTGTTTTTTCTTGAGCATCTGTGGATCTACCCAGAAGGGTGACAGTTCACAGTGGCTGTGGTGTAGGCCAGTTTGGTGTGGATGGGTTGATCAGTAAGGGCAGCCTCCAGCCCAGGTCCCAGGATTCTTCAGGTCCCAGGAGCTATGGCCCTCTGTGGTGTGAGGAAGCATATCTTACTCCTGTTGTCTCTGAGGGTTGGAGCTGTGACCTGCTTTATCTGGAAAGGACAGGTTGTCTAGGTGGTATGTCCTCTATTCTTATGGAATCCGCAGCTCTTGTAGGGCCCCTTAGCAACTGTAAGCAGCTTTTTAAAAGTGGAACCAGGTTCTCCGGATAATAGACATTTGTCACCCAACTTCTATAGCAACTTCTATAGCTGTTTTGCGTCTCCTGCCAAGGTGGGTCCATGATTCAGTAACTGTGGGATTTGCCTGTCTTTGTAACAGCAGGAAATAGTTGTCCCTCTTATTTTGCAGTGGTGGCATAAGGTGCGGCTGGAGGAGCAGGACCCTCTGCTCTGTCTTGGTACTGAATGGCCTCTGCCAGGGGAGTAGGTGTTGTTAGCAGGAACAACAGGACCAGGAACTCTCCTGGATCTTTGAGACAACAGACTTCAAACTGGTTGCGTTGGTCTGTGCCTTGTTTCTGGCACCTGGTGTTTTAGGTCTTCATTGTGAGTTCACAGTGGCTAGGTAATAGTTTCTTCAAAGTAGGGATCAAAGTATGTTCATCTCTGTTGTACTCTCACTTAGCCCCCAGTGGTGATTACAGTAGTGGAGTAGTGATTGTTTCTGGATGAACTAGTATGGAATATATACCAACCATATATATGTGTGTATGGTCAGAAAGAAAAGAGAAAGATGTTGTTACCAGCTTTTGGCAAATTATTTCCCTGGTACATTTCCATATTTGTGCAGTGTGTAGGCCAGAATCTACAGTCTGACCTTTCTGTGCCAAAGGACAGAAGCAGGATCCTAGCCCCATGGCCACAGGAACTGCTGTCCTCAGGGGAATCGGGGTGAGGTCTGAGTCAGGATGTTGATCGGAGGGCTCGTGGCCAAGTTAGTCTACCAGTTTTAGAACCACTAATCCTGTCCTCACACGGAAGACGTGGTGTCCTGGCCCAAGTCAAAATGAAAGCTTCTGTCTCCAGTAGGAAGCTGCTGTTGCTTGAGGAAGCGGGCAGGAAGGCACACACCTGTGCTGCCCAGAGGAGCACTGCTTCTGCTTCAGAAGGGGCTCAGCACTCCACCTCCTCCACCCTGCTCCCTTGCACACACTGTGGGGGAGTTTGTGGGCAGATTGCGTTCACAGACATCTCAGTGGCCACTGGGCCAGACCCTGTCTGTGCTGCTGACGCCGCAGCCCCTGTATGGGACTCTGCTGAAGCAGCCTGTGTCTGGGTCACTGCGCAGGATGCCAGCATTTCCCCAGCTGTGAGGACTGTCGGTTCTCCTCTCATCCCTTCCTGCGTGGCTCCCCTTCACCCCCGGCTGCCAACTTGGCTTCTCCATCATCGGAGCCCTCATCTGTAGCACTCTGCTCAGCTGTGAGTCCCTCCTGACTCTTGCTGGGCAGTGGTACAGGTCCTGTGCTTGTAAGAGAGAGAGCAGTCTCAGGAAATCTGAGTCTCCAGCACTCAGAGGCAAAGAGCAGCGTCTGGAGCTGAACGGTGCCCTCACAGACTGGTGATGCATCGGCAGAGGAGGCTGAGGAGGAAGGCTTTCCCTCGCTGTAGGTAAATGGGAGCCGCAGGAGCAGCAGCCCCGGGAAGCTCATGATCCTGCCAGGAAAGGAGTGACTGCGTTTCCAGAACGAGCACAGAGGACAGCTCTGTGTGTGAGTAATCTGTCGGGGGATAAAGCTAGTTATTCTAACTATGTGTGCTCTCTAACCACGGTTCTGGTGGCCTAAACTCGGTGAGCTCTGCGCAATGCCTGCCGAGGACTTTCCTTTGAAGGGCGCTTTTAGAGTAGTGTGGGGAGGCGACTAAATGTGGTGGCTTTCAGATGTTGACCGGCACTAGGAGACTTGACTGTAAATCAGCAATAAATCAGAAAATCAAACCTCATAGACCCTTTGCTGTACAGGGCAAAAACAACAAAACAAAACAAAAAACAAAACCCAGGAAAACAACTATAGCCTCACAGGTGAAACATCTGTGGCATTCTCTGATCCTTGTGGCAAGAGACAAAAGAAATTGCAAACTGAATGCAGAAGGGGTAGGGCTCGGAGGGAAGGAGGCGGAGGGTCTTAGGAGCCCACCCCCGCCTGCGTGCCCTGTGCTCTCTGGACTTGCTGTGTCTGTCTTCCTGCCTAAAGAACGGGCAGCAAGTTTGCCTTTAAGCTTTTCCCTCTGGAGCACTCTGGAAATGAACACTGTGACAAAGGATGTGATTGGCAGGTGTGAGGCAGACTGATTGCTCACTTCCAGCAGCCAGGCTGTCTTGAAAGATGGCTATCTACTGGAAGAGGAAGCTCAGGTTTAATAAGAGGCCTAAGCTGTGACAGCCCGGGCACCCAACAGGTTATCAGTGAGGTCTAACTCATAGCTGCAGGCTGGGCACACCCTGACATTTCCTTCTCCTCTCTCGGGGTTCTCCATCCCTCCCTATCCCTGCCTGCCTCCATCTGGCCTAGTTTGCTGGTTCCCAGACAGGGAGCAGAGTAGCCTCTCCAAGTGAGGCCATGAGGGGACCGGGAAGCAGAGGGGGCTCGGCGTCTGCGATCCTTGCACCCACCCTTTTCGTAAAGCATCTGCTGGTGTAGGTCTCAACAGCGAGATGATCCCGGCACTGAATCGAGAATGACTTTGAAATGTCCAAGTACAAGGGGATGGTGTAGGCTGCAGACAGGAATGGATAACCTGGGGTGGCGTTACTGCTGCTTATCTTGCAGGAAGATTTCTGTGCAGGCATGCTGGGGGTGATGGGGCATATCCGAGATGTGTTGTAAATGACCACTATCCTATGGGTGTGTGGGCTGTGCTGTGGGGGAGGTAAAGAGAGTACTTATGCAGCTGCAACAGAAAGCAAAAAATGAAATGGCATTGCTACTTGAGTATTTTCTCATCAAAGGGGTGTTTTTATGTTTAAAAAAGATAGTTTAGGGATGGTGGCTGGACACGCATAGGGCTATTTACCTGGTATTATCTAAATGAAGCTATCTCAGCCTGCAGCTGTACCCATAAGAACTTCTGCCTATAGTCTCATTATCTGAGAGGCTGCATCTGTTGCATGAGTCAGGTGGCTAGGATGGGAGTGGCAATTGGTTTACGGAAGCTGGTTGGACCTCATGTCTGTTGCTAAGGGGGCTGGATCCCTGTGGGTATGGGGCGAGTGACAGTGAAAGTGCAGCTGAGATCCTCACCCTTTCAGGCAGGCTTTGGAGAAGACTGGGGAGAATTTAGCAATGATGGTGAAAGTGGTACGAAGCAGGCCATCTTTGACTCAGACAAAGCCAAGTGCACAGAGATAGCAAATGGGTGGAAAAAGGGGAGGACTTGCAAATGGGGAGGGCCTTCGGGTGGGAGGGAGCCCTTTTGGCAACTGGTGTCTAATGCTGGGTATTTTCCTGCATTTGGCACAGAGCGATTCTACAGTGTTTGAGCTGAAGGAGCAACAAATCAGTGCAATTTATGTGATTGTGGCACAGCCCACCTGCGTAAGAAGAAACAATACACCCTATATTGATAAAGACAAGCCTCCTTCCAATGACCATGTGTGTGTGAAAGAGATGGAGGAAGGGAGAGAGAGCACCCCAAATGTGGCTTTTGGCTCTTCCAAAGGCATTTCTAGCTGTTTCTGTCACTGCTTCAGGTCTTAACTCTGTCCTTTTGCTGGGCTGGGAATGTAGCAGCACACTTGCCTGGTGTATGAAAGGCCCTGGGCTCCATGCCCGGCACAGGAAGGGAAATGCATATTTCAGGACTGTCTGGCTGGGGCACCGTGCTTCCGATGACCTGGTGAGTGAGCACAGACTGGGCTTGCCAGGGTTCTTTCTCTCTTTCCTTATTATCTTTTCCCCATATTTGGAGCAACAGATGGAGGACAATATGAAATGTCATAATAGATTGGGGGTTGGTAGGAATTATCTTTCTAAAATTACAGTGTTTGCATCTGGCTAGATTTCTTATGATGAAATGTCATTTCCACTCCCTACTGCTGTGGGAGTAGAAGTTGTAGGAGACTCTACCTCAGCCTCCCAGGGTCAGTGGCCACATGAGGCGGAAATGATCATCGAGTTTCTGGAAGCAACTGTGAAAGATGCCCATACATTCTTGAACATCAAAACATGATCAAATGTTGGCTTGAACAGTGTGTGTGTGTGTGTGTTTGAATGAGTGAGATATGGTTGCCCATGTAGATGTCAGAGGACAGCTTGCTGCAGTCTGTTTTCCCCTTCCATCATGTGGGTACAGAGCCTGAGCTCAGATCTTCAGACTTTGCAGCAAGTGCCTACCCCTGAGCCATCTCCCTGGTTGCTAGAAACATGTTTTAAACGCAGAAGACTTCTTCCTTTCTCCTTTTGCCGCAGAGCTGAGATCAGTACCCTTGACTTGGGGTATTTGAGTGGAATCTAGAGTTCTAGTCATATTTGTCCTTTCAGGAAAGGCGGTTAAATTTACTGCTGTCATTACTACCTTCAAACCACTGCAGCGTGAGGCTTTGTCCTAAGTGGTTAAACAAGAGACTGGAGGGTATGTGTGGGGGGTGGGGACTCTAAATTGGCGTCACTAGAGCTGGCTGTGCTCCATGAGACATCCTTTTCTTCACATGGTGGAGGGTTTCAGCAGTTTGGGATGGAGTCAGCCCTGGGCCTGTGCTCAGTCCTCCAGAACTCAGGAGACTGCGCGCTTTTGGAAAGGAAAGGATGAAGGAGAGCATGCTTGCCAGGGCTAAGATGTGGAGGGCATCTCCTCCAAGAGACCCCCTGCCTACCAAGGCGCATGTTAGCCATGGTGGATCATAGGGATCTGGCCCACAGAGTGGGGTTGATCAGACACAGTACAGGTTATATATATGACCAGGAGGTGTCTAGGGCGTTCTATCAGACACCCCCTTTTTAAAAATCATTAATTAAATATATAATTGCCTAACTCTTCCCACCTTTCCTGCCTTCACCCCTGTGTTATACCAGGCCTCTTCACCCAGGGGAGAAGTGCAGCCTCCCCGTGCTGCCCATCCAGTGAGAATGGTCCTGAGGAGGGAGAACGCACAGAGACAGGCACACTCTGCTGTCTTCCACTCTGAAACGCCGTGGAAGTGTGCTTTTGACATCCTATCTCCTTAGCATCGCTCCCCCATGCTGTGCTCCCAGAAGAGCACCCTGAGGCCAGCAGAGGTGTGGTTTGTCCGTCCCTGTGTGCTGAGTGCCGCTTTGTTTTGTGACTCCCTAGGACCTGAAGATGGAGTAGCGACAAAGGCATCCCCCATGATCCTGAGCACCTTTTGCTGTGGACTCCAGCCCCGTCCAGAGGCTGCATGTGGAGCTGAAGGAACTGACCTCCTGTTTTCCTGAGAACCCCTTTCTCTCCTAATTCATGAGCCAGCAGGATGCGGTCGCCGCGCTTTCAGAACGCCTGCTCATAGCTGCGTACAAAGGCCAAGCAGAGAATGTGGTTCAGCTCATCAACAAGGGTGCCAAGGTAGCGGTTACCAAGGTAACAAGGAAAAATGCCATAACTGTTCTTTGAGAATAGCTTACCTCTTGTTGCCTGCAGAACTGTTGTTTGGTTCATAGTTTTTAAAGAACTGGCTTTTGGTAAAGGGATGAAGACTTGGGAGGAAAAAAGATGCATTGAAAATGTTTTCATTGTCATTTTTAAAATGAGAGTTTGTAATTTGCATTTGACAGTCTTTAAAATCACACATGAATTTTCCCCACCTACATTTGCAGCCAGCGGACAAGATATATCTCTGGAGAAGTTCCCACACAGAAGCTGTGGGGTTTGGGGTTTAGGGTTGGGGGTCGGGAGCTGGTAATTGTGTCAGGCAGGCCTCCTAGGAAGGAGAACCATCGTTTGGTCAGGAAGCCCCCATTGTAGTCTCACTGCTCCATCTGACAGCTTGAGCCAGATGACAGTCATGACTGCTGTGGCTCCGTTTTCACGTGGGCTTTCTAAGACTTTGCTCATCCCTCATCAACAGACAATATGGTGGCAGATCATGGAACAGTTGGTTGAAGGCAGTTTTAGATCAAGACTTCAAGAAAGGTAGTCAGTAGCGGGTGTGGTTGTGCCAGCATTGGGGAGGGCTATATAGATAGCCTCAAAAATAAGCAAAAAATAAACCAAACAAAGTAAGTCAGGCCCTGCATAGCTGAAGAAATGCTAATAGAAGTATCCAGCTGTTAGTGTTACTATGAGTACCTTAAAGAACACCCTGGATTGCTTTGCAAAATGCTTTAAAGTTAATTCTGAGATAGACTAGTTGCGGCTTAACCTTCTGTTGCACAAATGGAGATGTATGTATGCTATATTTCACCATGATTTGAGACTTTTCTGAGACTGAAATTTAGATTCCTAACTCTCAGATCATAGCTCCCTATATTTCAAGTTCTGAAGGAACGTGAATATTCTCTTCTCCTCACTTTGGAGATGAGGAAACTAAAGATGATTCCGCTCAGGTGAAAGCACACCTTACATCCTTGGCGTCCCAGTCTGAAGCTCTCCTGCCTTTCACTCCAGAGCGAGCAGTGCAGTGGAGACATGGTTTCATATTTTCCACATGGCATTATCTGCTCATAGCTCTGACTTTCTGGGCCAGATGCTGGTCAGCTGGCCACTCACTCAGTCATGTGCAGTCTCTATTACATACTAGTCTTGAGGGAAAAAGCCTTGTCAGTTGACTGTAGAGCCCCAGAGATCTGTGAGTGTAACCTGAGCCTAGCATAAGGGTCCTTGACTCCAGTGGCTCCTGTGGCCAGTCCAGCAGGTGTCACCATTCGAAGGCATTAGGCAAATCTGAGTTAGGATTTGGCCCTGCCTTGTTGGCAAATTGTGTATGGGCTTGGCTTTTCAGAGCCTTCTTTATCTGTGATACAAGAATAATATGAACCTTCAGGATTGTTAGTCCAAGCACTTGCCACATGGGCTGCCATTTATGTTTAAAATAGACTTCATTCATTTTTTTAATCCATAGCTTTATGGAGGTATATTTTACATACTCTCAAATTAATCTAACTCAAGAAATTTCCAGAATACTTACATACTCGTGCAGCCATTGCCGCTAGTAGGAGTGGGCTGTCCTTTCATTGATATGTCAAAAGGTTGAGGGGTAATTAAATTGGAAGAGTCCCTCTATGGTGAGGTTAGTGTCCTTTTATATAGACACACAGGGAGTCTAACTCTTTCTTTCTTTCTGACTTTCTGGGACAGAAGTTGGGCAGCTGTCAGGCTCAGTCCCTCACTTGCATTTGAGTTCCTGTCTTTTGAGCACACAGTGAGAAGCTGTTCTCAGCAAGCTAGAGAGAAAATTTACCAGGACCCATCCATGCTTATCCCCTAATCTTCAGCAAGTCCTACCAGTGTGCCCCACCACAACTGGCTTATTCCCTAATCTTGAACTTCCTTTTGGGAAATAAGTATCTGTTACAGCAGCCTAAGCACGCCGATCAGCCCCATCTAATTGTAGAGAACTTCCACCATCCAGGAAAAGACTCTGGGTCCATTTACTATCTCCCTAACCCCACCCCAGCTCTCAACAGCTATGACTCTCCTCTTTAAGGAAAGTTTTCCTTTCTTAGCTATTACATAGAAATGGAACTATAGGTAACCAAGCTAGTTTTGTGCCAACTTGATACAAGCTAGAATCATCAGAGGAGGGAGCCTTTAGTGAGAAAATGCCTCCAAAAGATGGGCTGCAGGCAAGCCTGTGGGCATTTCCTTAATTAGTGATTGAGGTCGGAGGTCCAGCCCATTGGGGGTGGGGCCATTCCTGGGCTTGGTGGTCTTAGGTTCTATAACCTAAGACTGAGGTTATAGGTTATATAAAGCAGACTGAGCAAGCTATGGGACCAAGGGAATAAGCAGTACCCCTCCATGGCCTCTGCATCAGATCCTGTCTCCAAGTTCCTGCCCAGCTTGAGGTCCTGTCCTGACTTTCTTTGATAATAAACAGCGAGCGATATAGACATGTAAGCCAAATAAACCCTTTTCTCTCCATGCTTTTTCGTCATGGTATTTTGTTACAGCAATAGAAACCCTAGCTAGACATGTGGCCTATGGTCTTCTGTCCTGATTTCTTTCATGTAGTGTAGAGTTATCAAGAGTTATTCTTGCTTCAGTGATTGAGCACATCATTCCTTTGAATGGCGAAATAGTAAGACATGGTAGTCCCTCTTAACTATCACCCAGCGGATACCTGATCCTACCAAGCTCCATTCATACTCTGCTGTTTCCTATATGCAGATACTTATAATAGAATTCAATATGTAAATTAGGCACAGTAAGGCAATGGCCACAATTAATAAAGTGGAACACACACCTGCTTTGTATAGTGTAACGGTACACTAGAATGAAGTTGTCAGCATCAACACTGTGCGTTGGGGTCCATTGAGCTAAATAACACGTGCTGTAACACCACCACCGTCCATCTGACAGCATGCAGATGACATGAGGGACAACATGCAGGAAGGGTGGAGAGCGTGGATACACTAGGCAAAGGGGTGACTCACATCCCTGCTGGGATGGCGTGGGGCAGCATGAGCTTTTATTGTGTCGCCCAGAGCAATGTACAGTTTCAGACTTCAGAACTCTGGATTTCTGGAATGTTCTTCCACTTACCATTTCAGATTGTGTTTTGCCCCTGCCAATGGCTATTATAGGGTGTGAGATGTTGAATAAAGAGAATCAGTGTACTGTCTTTTAGTCAGTTGATGAACTTTTCTGGTTGCTTCTAGTTTAGGGCTGCTATGAAAATGGCTGCCGAAGCCATGAGCATCTGTGTACACACTTTTTGGGCAGAGTTCACATTTATGTTGAATGAGTATCAGGGAGATTTGCTGAGTCACATAATAAATCCGTTTAGCACTGTAAGAAAACAAAAACACCATGACTGTTTTCCAAGTGGGTTTACAATTTCACCCCCAAAATGTCTGAGGGCCCCCTTTCCTGCTTCTTCACCAATGCTTTTTTTTGATTGTTTGTAGGGATGTTGTATTACTATAGCTTAGGCTGGCCTTGAACACATACAGCCCTCTTGCCCCCAGCTTTCCAAGCACTGTGATTACAGGTATGAGCCACCATGCTGGCCGTTTTAAAATACAGATAATCTGTGACTTTGGTGTAGTCATGTCATGATGAACCCATCATAATTATATTGCAGGATGACATGCATCTCCTACTCCTAATCTACTGAACAGCTCAGCTCGGTAGAACTACACACTTGGGCTATCCTCTGCTAGCTTTCTGATCATGTGGTTAACTGTGGGTTGTGGCTTGCTGTTGCATGCCCAGAATCTCAAGAGAGATGCTGCAGATTTCTAGCCCTGGGACAAAAAGTCGAAATTCAAATTGATTTCTGGTGAATGTGCTTTGCTTTTTTTGTCAGAGTTGAAGAATCATAAGTCAAATCGCCATAAACCGGGCATCATTTTTACATCCCTTTAGCAAAGTGAAATTTATGCATACCTATAGAGGTGGTGGGGCATGCCTTTAATCTCAGCATTCGGGAGACAGAGGCAGGTGAATTTCTGTGAGTTTGAGGCCTGCCTGATCTACAGACTAAGTTCCATGACAGCCAAGGCTTCACAGAGAAACCCTGTCTCAAAATACCAAAAATAAATCAATCAATAAATAAAAAATAAAAAGGCACGAGAATTTTTTTTTAAAACTATTGAAGTTTCTCTTTAAGAAACAACTTTCACACCTCCTAGCTGTTTTCCCTCCCTACCTGCCTGATTGTACATTCTTAGACTATATGTGATATTAACTGATTGCCAGTTAAAATTTCTAAATTAAGTCAAATGAATGATGTTTTCAGTACTTGCCGTGGAAAAGGAGCAAACTCACATCTTAGCTGTAGGTGTGGATTTCAGTGGCCCTAGGACATTCACTGTGGCCCAGCTGTTGTCGACTCTCACTCCCAGACCCTTTCCACCTTGTTCTCATTAAATATTGACTCCTCAGTCCGGTGCCTCCCATGCCTCCCTCAGCACATGGAGCTCTTCTCTCTCTTTTGAGACAAGATCTCACAATGTAGCCCTGACTGCGCTGAAATGAACTCCCATGTGGCTCTGATTGGCCTTGAACTTGCAGCTGTCTTTGTGGCCATTTTTGTGCACACGGACTTGCTTTAATGCTTCAGGCTGAACCTGCATCTCTCCAGCTGGAGCCTGATACTCTTCTCAGGGCCTCTTTTGTAGTGAGTGGCACCCCTGTTTGTCATCCCATAGCCAGTCTGTTTTCTTTTTGACTCCCTTCGTCCCTCCACTTGGAGGCCATTCATTCTCCCTCCTGAATTTCTTATTGCTGTCTGTCCTGTACTAGTATAGGAGATACTTCTTTGAAAACAGGAAGGTGGGGTTTTCTCTTGAGAAAGCCTTGTTTTCATAATGATTCCATTCTCCCCAGAGTTACCTCATGTAAGAAATATATTCACCTGAAGCTTCGTTTTATTAGCTTAACATCTGCAGGTATTTTGTTGTCTGGATAAATCCTCT